TCCATCCATCCATCCATCCATCCATCCATCCATCCATCCATCCATCCACCCACCCACCCACTTATCCTAGATCTCTGATGTTTGACCCCTGGAATCAATTCAGCTGACCCTCTCCATGAGTTGATTTCTCTCATTTTAGCTGGAATTTTGCAGAAAGTACCAGCAGTGCTTTTTGATAATACTACCTTTTTCAAAAGCCCTGCAACATATGAAACCACCTTATTTTTCTCTCACAAGTTCTCTGCGCCTTGTCATTACTGCATGATTTTGCAAAAGCTCACAATAGAATCTGTGCTGGATATCCAGGTCATGGGTGCTCACATGTTCTGCTCACTGTAAAGAGAAGGTTAAGTCCATTCAAAAAGTGTGGTCATACTTACCAGTGAAAGAACAAAATTAAGAACTGCAGTGCCGCTGTGGAAAAGGACTGTTACTAAAGTTGTAACTGTGGTGAAAAGGAGGCTAACATTATGACTCATCACTACCCAGAGGGATTCTAGGATCTAGAAAAAGAGCAGAATTAGATGCATATTCTCTATCATCTCAGAGCACAGGACATGGAATAATGGATTTAACTTATAGGAAGACAATTTGACTGAAACTTAAGGAAAAAAACATTCTATATAACCATCTGGAATATTTTAATTTAGATTCCTGCATTGAGCATAGAGTTAAGACTCAGTGTCTTAAACAGTCCTTTCCAATGTTATGAATAACTTGAAGGCAAAACTGATAAAATCTTTCAATAGACAATATTTTGTGATAGTATAGAATATTTATGACAATAATGGTTTATAGCATTAGCATCTGCATCAGTGGATCTTGAGTTTCTATTTAAAAATTGTGAATTCATATGCAGTTAAAATAATATTACTGAAAAATATTTTTCAAAATAGAATCTAATATATAACTTAAAGCTTCTTCCATACAAATAAGTAGATTATCTCAAGGATAGTTTCCAGTGTATCATCACACTTTTTATTTATTGAAAGAAATAGGGAGTTGTATGTGTGGCATAAATTTGTAAAATAAAATCTCATAAATGCACTTGAAATTGGATTTAAAACTGACTATAAAACTCCTAAAACTGATTATACTGTTAAGTAGTTTTAGCTTGGATTTTTTTAAAAAAAGGAGAATAAAGAACAAGGCTCATGCAGGAAGAAAAACAAAGCCTAAAAAGGAAGCATGCAACAACACAGAGGCCATTTCAAGTTCTGATATCCGATATATATCAAGTTCAATATATGCAATAGTTCTGATTATATGCAAAAAAGAGTTCCAAGTAAATTTTGACAATCTTTATCAATTTCAGTACATTCAATCTAGATCAGACTTATTCTATCACTAATCAAGTTGGTAAATATAAGTATAGAGCAAGTAATATATCAGTGACATATTAAGCAGCTAATAACTCTTAGTGGAGTAAAAGAAATATATGTATATGTATAAGGTATGTATGTATATACATAGACCATCAAGTTGTTTTTCTTAGCAACCAGAAAGATTTTCTTCATGACAATCTATCCCTAACCTGGTCTTTCAAGTTTTCCAATAGTGTATGCATGCATGTATGCATGCATGCATGTATATATTACAACATGTTCTAAACATATAAGCCTAATCATTTAAATTGCTAGTTTAATAATTACTATATTTATTATAGTATTATACTATACTATAAAGGAAGACAATATTTTTTCCAAAACAATTTATCTTTGACATGAGGCTCAAGAGTGGGGTCAGCTTGTATTTGCAGAATAGAACCAGAATACATCATTTAAAAAGGCAGGACTTTAGAAAAACAGGTGTGGAGCCAAATTTCTCCCTTTCTCCTGTCTCAGTGTACATGCTCACAGTCTATATATGTAGAGCAAATAGTTTAGTCCTTTTCAGGCTTGTAAAAAGTGTTAAGATTTACTACTTAATGATTCATGACTTATGAGCAAAGGGTATACAGATTTTTTCATTTCTCTTCTTTATGTGAGAACCTGCAATACTCAATTCCCAATAAAGATGACTCCCTTGAGACTCAAACAAGTCCAATGAAAAGTCCATTTATTGAAAAGAAGTGTACAGTCTCAAAAGCATTCCTGAAACTAAAAAGCCCATGTGGACCAATCTTTACTTAAGCCCCTTTCCCTTCACTCCCCCCTTCCCAGCCCATAGTCCTTTTTCCTGGTTCCTCCTGGTCTCATGCTGGTATGACCTTGGCATTCCTGAGAACAGATAACATAGCATCTGCCTCTAACGGTTTCTTCTTCTGTTTCTCTCTTCCCACCCTCCTTCTTGTAATGGCAGAACCGAAGCAAGTAAACTAGGCGCAATGGATAATAGTTGCGAGGTTTCTGACACTTTACTTCTTTGCCGATTCATCTCTTCCCCATCCAGTTTTATTTACCCTCTCTCTTTTACTCCATCCCTTTCCACTACAGTTACCCTTCCCTTTATCCCATTTCCATACTGTTTTTCTTCTTCTTTTTTGCTGAATCTGGCTCAAAGGAATGTTCATATGTGTGAGAGAGAATGGTTTGTGTGCAGAAGGAAGTCAGTACAGAGATATACAGAGATTTAGAAAAAAAGGATAGAGATAATGATGGAAAAAATTTAAGGTAATGGAGGCTAGGAATTCACAGAAAGCTTCAGGAAAAACAGAATATGAGGAAAAATAAAGCCATTTTACAGACAGGAAAGACTATACTAAGAATTATAAGAGCTGTAAGCCAGCACATCTAGGACTGGAATGCTGATGAAGAGCCAAAAGTGAATTCCAGATGCTGATTTTAACAAGGCCAAGTCCCTGGACACAATTCTATGCCCATCTGCTTTTATTTTTGTTAAAATGAATGAAATTAGGACATAGTGCTTCCTGTAATATTTATTATAAAAAACACATACCGAAAGAAATGTTTCAATATTCTCATGAACAAAAGAAGCAACATCTTGCCAATCAAGCATGTCACTTGCCCAACCATGCTCACGGTATAAATGCTTTTTGTGACTTTTTTGTTGTCCAGAATGAGTTGCATTCTATAAAACAAGAGTAAAATATTACAAAACTTTACATGGATTGAATTTCAGAGGGCAAGGGGTACAAGGAACATATTTATTTTCAATAAAAGCTGGAGTAGCCTAGATTACAGATCTCAGTAAAATTTACATCACAAAAAACATGCTTTATGGTAGAGTTCCCCAAAATGGTCAATATCAAACCCCAAGGGTTGATTGGACTATCCAAGGGGTTAATGTGATTATTATTATTCACAATACTATTAAAGTAGCATTTATTAGATTATTTTCATATAATAAATGTTTGGGGGTTGATGAACAATCTGAAATTTCATGAAGGGGTCAATGAGTTGAAGAGTTTGGGGACCCTTCTTTAAGGTCTTAATTTTTCCTGATGCACATAGATATAGCCTCTGGGTAGTGATATTTGCTCTCCAAGTTTACTGAAGGTAGGCATTGAAAAGTGCTCTGGAGAAGGATCACTGGTACTTAAGATAGGTGAGATAATATAAATACTTTGCCTCTGTATTTCTCTGAGAGGGCACTAGATCCATGTGGTTTGAGTTAGATGATCCTGGAATTCAATATACTCAGTCCTCTGTCTAATTACCTCCTAGGCCTTTTCCTTAGGCGCATATATGGAAGTCAAGGAAGAGCTCTTAGGAAGCCAGTTTGTACTTTTTCAAAAGTTTCTAAGCAAAGACAGAGGTTCAATTGCACACTGTATAGTAAATGTGTAACTACTTTTATTACTAAAATTTTGATGGTAGCTGGGATGAATACATTCTCTGTGTCTGAAAGAATCTTAAAATAGCTGTTATAGTCTTTTATGTCATAGAAAAAGGCATACTATATGTGGCTTGGGCATTATTACTTCTGGAGGACTGAAATACTACCCCTAAGTACCTGAAGCACTTAACTTGCTCTATAGATTGTCTGTCGATTTGTGGATTTTAGCACTATTGAAAAATAGATTTACTCCAATTTTCTGATGGTTATAGCCATCTGTTCCTCCCTACAATATTGGGCCAAGGCAACTAAGATGAAAGTGAATCAGAAACAGGATTGCAGTGGTGTCAGTATAAAGAGTTAACATTTCAGAGTGAAGTCTGAAGGCCTGCCTGCAAGTAACTGCCAGATACTTTGGTTTTTGTCACATGAGGTGGACCACTTTAGATGTTTTAACAATTGACCTGATCTGTGGTGACAAGGACAATCTGTCAGGAATTCCAGTCCCAAGTTCTTTAGGGCTTTATATATAAAGAGTTAAACTTTGAAACTGGCTCAGTAGCTGACTTAGTGGCCAGTGCAGTAGTTTCAGCAATGATGTGCAGCATCCTACTCAGCAACTTGGCCACACATTCTACAACAGTTGCATCTTCCAGACCAAGCACAAAGACAGATCCACACATAATACATTAAAATACAATACAGTTATTGATGTGTATTCACGCTTATAGCATGTGAACTATTGTAGCTAGGCTGTCCTTTCCCAGGAAAAAGTTCATAATAGGTACTTCTGGTCACCAACGTCACTAATTATACATTGTCATGCGTATTGCTAATTCAATATAAATCAATAATTGTTAGGGACTGTTCAGATGTCACTTTAGCCCATGCATCCCCCCTGCTCCCAGTCCCTTCATTGCAAGCACCAAGTTCCCAAACAGAATCATGTTATCTTGAAAGAGGTATTTACATAATCATACCAGGTAGAATTTATCTTTGTAACTACTAACAAAACATTACACTGCAATTTTTCTTGGACTAATATATTGGCAATATAAAAAAGATACTTACTTTCACAAACCAAGAATGATATAGTCTGTCCCAAAGCTCCAGAACTCGTTTTTCAATCACAGCAGTGTTATTTACTTTTTCTCCTAATATTTTATCAAGCTATAAAACACAAAAAAGATATGTGTCAAAATATTTGAAAAGGAACATATATAGATTATGTATTATGTACCTTTGTCTATACTTACTAAATATTCATTAATTAAAGAAACTATTTTAGGTAGAATCGACCCCTCCTCATCCCATTTATTCATTTTCTTGCTAGAAATATTGCAAATGTTGAAAAAATAATTAGATTTACAATAACTAGGAGTATATTTTCTTTTCCAAGGAGTCTCTATTTATTGAGAGCACTTTTACATTGTTATTCAGTGTGAAAACATTTACATAGCATTTGGCTAGTATTTAAATTGTAACAATAACAATTTCAGTCGTTATGTCTTTGGTTTATATAATTAAATCACAACGGTAATCAGAATGGATATAAAAAGAACAAGTAATAGAACTCAGAGTATCAAACCCAGAACTGCATTAAGTTATTTCAAAACCACAATTTTTTTGCTCAGTTATTTCTGTTTAATAAGGCCCATTGTACATTCTCCAAATATGCTTGTGCAAGTCTTCCTATTTTGTTGGAATTCACAAACATTAAATATACTGTATTGTTAAAACCTGATCTCATAATGGTATTAGGAGGGAGAGGAGAATTCAAAACTGAGCTTATCTATCATTTGAAAATTATAGTTTAATAACAACTGCAAGCCTCTGGTTTTATTCCAGATAATTTGATATATCTATTTTATTAAATACTTTTTATAGTTTTATTTTGCAGACTGCTATGAAATTTGATGATTAGCAGCATAAAATGTATTTTTTCATTATAGGTAGTCCTTGAATTATGACTGCAATTGAGACTGCAATTATGACTGCAATTATGACTGTTGTTAAGTGATGTGGCCGTAAAGCACATCATGTGACTGCATCGTTTACTGATGGCAATCCAGGCAGCCCCAGTTGTAATCGTAACCCCAAGACATGTGGGTCATTAAGCGGGAAGCGAAGGAAGTCCCAGGTAAGGAGAGCACGGGTGCCACAGGGGAGTGCGGGAGGCTTGGCGCAGGCTGTGCAAGTTGGGGGAGGGGGTGCTTGGTGTGACACGAGCTCAGAAAGGCTGGGGAATGATGCCGCGTGCATGCAATCGCAGGGAGGCTGGGGAAAGAGGAAGTGGGGCGTGTGTGATCACAGGGAAGTCGTGGAAAGAGGGTGCACGGTACATGTGTGCGATCACAGGGATGCTGTGGAAAGAAGGCATGGGGTGCATGCATGCTTGTGTGCAAGTGCAAGGAGGCCCGGGAAAGAGGATGCAGGGTGTACGCAAGCGAAGGGGGGAAGGAGGGAGTGGTGCACCTGAGCGAAGAAAGTCTCAGAGGGAGACTTACCCCAGCAACTTGCAACCTTCCTTACCAGCTTCCCACTGACTCTGCTTGGGAGAAACCAGCAAAGAGCACAAATGGTGATCACGTGACCGCTGGATGCTGCAACTGGTCTTAAGTGCAAGCTGGTTGCCAGGCACCCAAATTTTGTACACGTGACCAGAAAGACGCTGCAATGGCTGGAACTTTGAGGACTGGTTGTAAGTCCCTTCGTTCAACACCGTTGTAACTTCAAACAGTTGCAGAACGAATGGTCAGTGAATGAATGGTCGTAACTTGAGGACTATCTATAATATATAGTTGCAGATCATCTATTTGCAAACTATGTCAATGTTATTGATGAAATATGAATCAAAGGTTATTTCTAGGATCATGAATCTTTTTGAAAGGAAAGTAGGAAGTAGCAGAACATTAATCTCCAAAGAGGAATCTCATCATTACCTTATGCGTTATCCATTCTCGTCCATACTGATAAACATTAGTAGCAGCTGAATTCAAAGCCTTCTGAATAACCTGAGCTTCGGGAAGCCAGCTAATTAAGAAATAAAAATTTTAAAAATGCATTCTGATTGCATATATTCTGACTGTATGTATAAACATAATAAATAATACAGACAGACAAAGAGACAGCTTAGTACCTGCCAGACATTCCATCACAGTCGGGGACTGATTAGAATGGCCCACCCCAGATGCCTAATGGATTCTGAGGGTTTCTAAAAGGTGCTTGGATAGTTCTCTGACAATTTAGTGGGTGATTCTGTTTTGTGCTTGGTCAATCTGTGGAGATACTCAGAATGTTAACATAATCAGTGCCCTCCTGGCTCAGATCCCTGGCCCATCTAGTCCAGCAATCTGTTCTCACAGTAGTCAACCAACTGCACAAGGAAGCTCACTAAGCCTCCCACCAGGTGGCCTTCAGAGGAAGTCACACTGCCAACAAGGCTGATAACCACTGATCCCCATGACTTCCATGAATTAGTCTAACCCTTTTTTGAAGCCAAGTTGGTAGCCAGCACCGTCTCATGGTAGCAAATGCCAAAGTTGAATTATGCATTATGTAAACAAATATTTCCTTTTGTCTGTCTTGATGCTTCCAGGATGCAGTTCCATTGGGTGGTTCTAATATTTTAGAAAGGGGAAAATAGCTTCTCCTTCTCTACTTTATCCACACGATGCATAATTTCTTACACCTCAATCATGTTCTCTCTTATTTGCCTCCTTTCTAGATTAAAAAACCCTAAATGTTGCAATTTTCCTCATAGGGAAGCTGCTCCAGCTTAGTTGCCCTCTTCTGAAACTTCTCTAGCTCTAGTATTGACATCTTCTTTGAACTGTTTATCATTACTCCAAGCTCTCTTTCCCCATCAGTCACTGCTAGCTCTGATCCCATTAGTTTGTGTGAGTAGATAAGTTTATTATTTTTTTCTTTTTGTGCCTTTGAGTCAGCATTGACTCCTGGCAACTGCCTGGACAAGTCTCTGCAGTTTTTTTCAGCAAGATTTTCAGAAGTGGTTTTCCACTGCCTTCTTAGTGCTGAATGAATGACTGGCCCGAGGTTACCAGCTGGCTTTATGCCTAAGGCAGACTAGATCTCATGGTCTCCCAGTTTCTAGCCAAGTGCCTTAACCACTACACCAAACTGGTTCTCTAATTAGGATCAGGATAGTAGTAAATGTAAAGGATGCGTATCACTTTACACTTGCTCACATTGAATAACATTTGCCATTCTGCCATTCTGATGCCCATTCCCCTAATGTGCAGAGATCCCTCTTCACAATCCATTATTGTTTTTACCACTCTGAACAATTTAGTATCATCAGCAAACTTAGTTATTCCACTAGTCACACCCAATCCAGATAATTTATAAACATGTTAAAAAAGCATTGGTCCTAGGACAGAACCCTGGGGGACCCCACTAGTTACATCCCTCCATTATGAGAAATGTCCATTTACTCCTACTTTGTTGTCTATTATTTAGCCAGTTGCTTATTCACAAGAAGACCTGCCTTTTTATTTCATGGTTGTTAAGCTTACTGAGAAGTCTTGATGAGGGACTTTATCAAGGGTTTTTTGAAAATGTAAGCAGATGCTGTGTACTGGCTCACCCTTATCCACCTGTTTATTAAAACCTTAAAAAAAACTTTAGTAAATTAGTTAGACAGGACCTTCTCTTAGTGAAGCCATATTAGGTATCTCTGAGCAAGGCCTGTACCAAATGCTCGGTAATTCTATCTTTAATAGCAGAAATAGGTTTAACAGGTTTCTATCTTCCCCAGAACAGATGTTAAGCTGACAGGCCTCTAATTTCCTGGATTTCACTGTGAGCCCTTCTTAAACATTGGAGTCAGCCACCTTCCAGTCCTCAATTACAGATGCTAAGTGTAGAGACAGGTTGCATTTAATCTCAGCTTTAATCTCTTTGATAACCTTTGGGTAGATGTCAAGGCCTGCGGATTTACTGATGTTCAGTTTTCAATAAGGCCTAGCACATCTTATCTTGTCACCACTATATGGCTAAGTTCATCCGATTCCATTCCTGAGAACAGGAGTTCAAGTTCAGGAATCTCTCTCAATTTTTCTTCTATGAAGATGGAGGTAAAGAATTCATTTAGCTTCTCTGCAACTTCCTTTCCTCCTCTTAGCACATCTTTGACTTATTCTTCATCCAAGGGACCAATGGCTGGTTAGCTTCCCTGCTTTTAATGTATTTGAAGAATCTTTTATTATCTGTCTTCAGTTTTGGCAATATGCCCCTCAAAAAAAAATTCTTTTTTTTTGCCTCCCTCCTGTCTCTTTGAAATTCCTTTGCTAGAATTCACATGCCTTTTTCGTTTTCTTCATTAGGACAGGTCTTCCATTTTCTAAAAGATACTTTTTTGGCCCTAATAACTTCCTTTACAATGCTAGTCAACCATGCAGGCCTCTTCTTGGACTATGGGGCCATTTCCATAATTTCAGGAATGCACTGTGCTTGAGCCTCTATTATTGTGGTGTTAATAACAGCCAAGCTTTCTGGTGGGGAGCTTGCCCTTTTGACCATCCCTTTGAGTTTCCTTTTCAGCAGTCTTTTCAATTTTGCGACTGTGTGGGACTGAATATATAGGTTATTACTCCTTTGAATGTTTAATTTTATTGCATTATGATCATTATTCCCAATCGGCTCAACTACATGTATTTCTCTCATCAAGTCCTGAGTTCTATTTAAGAGTAACCTAGTGTTGCCCCCTCCCTCGTTGGTTTCATCACGAATTGCTCCAGTGCACAGTCATTTATAGATCTAAGAATTTTACCTCTCTGTCATGGAAGATTTTAGAGTAAATGATAAGTATATTCATCTTTAAACCCTTAGTTAACCGATCCAAAAATGAGACAAAATTATCCTGGAAAGACAAATCTGTGGTGACTTTACATTTAAAGTCACCACAGATTTGTCTTTCCAGGATAATTTTGTCTCATTTTTGGACTGGTTAACTTTGTAGTTGGGTGTGGAAATGTTATAAATACCTTGATTTCAGTAAAGCATTTGAAACAGTATCTCATGACATTCTGATTAACAAACTAATTAAGTGTGGGCTAGATCGTTTAAGTAGAGGCTGGGTAACCTATACCACAGATTTTGATAGATCTCTCTCTGCCGTGTCTCATTTATTTCAGATATTGCCTTTGTTAAACTATATTGCTTGTTTGGATGCCTCCTGTGATGGAATGGAATTATGAAGGGCGAGCG